AGGTTATATTATGTATTTTGTTATTACTGAGCAAAAATTAATATTCCACTAGATGGAGCAAAAGTGGCAGTAGCTTTACAGATAAACAGTGCAAGTTCCTGGGCCAGGTTTAAGAAATTTTGGAATTAATAAATAACAAAATTTCTTGGGGATATTAATATCTATGTAAAGCAAATTTATTTATTTATTTATATATTTATTTATTTATTTATTTATTTATTTATTTATTTATTTTTATAACTTCCTGAACCTTGTAAGAATATTTAGAATGATCTCATCTAAATATTGATTTACTTTCTGATTTATGGGACAAGATTATTAGAAATAAAAATGTCCAACTTACTTTCTTCAACTTTGCATACTCTGGCCAGATCACAAAGTATACATGCTTTAATGACAATTGCGAACTAGTGTAAACTGGCAGATGTCTGTGACTACGGGGTACATAATTAAAAATGCTGAAAGTTGCCTTGGGATTTTAACAGTTTGCAGTGAGAGCTTTACATCAAATTTCATTTGTTGGATTAATGATTAAAGCATGAGAGTATTTGAGATCTAGAGAATTTTGTGGTCCATTCAGCCTAATGCTCTCATATCTGAGAGGGTGAATGACATCCAATGATACCTTTCTATTTTACATTCAAACTGAGATGACTGTTCTAACTAATTAGCCTTCATTAGCAATCTCATCCCCAACTATTATGCATTCTAATTCATGAATTATTTTTAAATCATAACATTATAAATTAACTGTACCTTTTTAAAAATCCAGGATCATACCAGAATAGCAATTGAGTGCCTCACCAGATTTTATAGTAACTAAACATTCACAGGACAGATTTCTAGTGTTGAGAGAAAATGTTATAGAAACACATCAAGAATTAGCTACTTCTAATTTTCCAAAAGACCGACCTCAGACCAAAGAGAAAACAGCTCTTTGGGGGGAATTTATGAAGAAAATGGAACGAGCAAAGGGAAGCCTCTCTATATACAGGTTGTTGATTAGAGGATTCTAATGTCTCCTTATGTTGAGATCATATTTTTGGTCTTGCAGTCAATCTTAACGAGTAAAAGGAAGCTGGTATTCGGTTATTCAAAGCCCCTGTACTACCCACTAGTTCATCTCCACGTGGTACAGTCAGCTCACTACATACATCCACGTTGCGGACGTCACTTCCCGCAGGATGGTTTCCAGAGCTGAAGTTTGATTCCAGAACGCAGAGTCATAGGCTGGGGGCTGGGGCTGGGAGAAGACTGAAGGAATTTGAAAAAGAAAGAGGAAGGCGCTTTAGTTTATGATTCAAGGTCTGGTGGGAACATTTTTTGAAAATGTAGGTGCTATTTCCTGCAATCAAGGGCTTTCCAGAGCTTGATAATCATTTCCCAGCTGTGGCCCTTTGCTGACTTGTTTCTAGTTGTGGGCAGTCCATGGCTGCTTTTCCCCATGTCTGATGGAAGAAGATCATATTCATCTTGCTGATAGAAAGCAGGGAATTTAACTCCCACAGCTTCTCCCCTCCTTCCCTGTGCCTTAAGGAAAGTTTGGCTCTGTGCTAAAGTGTGAAAAAAAATAAAAAGCCTTGACTGTATATGTCAGGTATATTTCAGCTCGATTTGTGTCAACCCTAATAAGTTAGTTGACAAAGTAATAAATTGGGTGTCTGCTCAAGATCTGGCACCTGTACAGGAAATAAGAAAGTATTTCAAGTGAAGGCAGGTTCTCTTTGTTTTACTAATGGGAGTTTTCCAGGGACCCTCTTCCCTTTATTGAAGTCTTGGTGTCTTGAAATCTATCTCAGTTGTGACTGTAATTGACAAGAAAGACAGCAATTAAAAAAAAAAAAAAAGACTCTGAACTGGTGAGAGACATTGATGAAACGGTGATTATGTTTGCCCTGTTCACCTGTGTGCCCTCCCTGTCCTGTGCTGTCCCTGGCACCTAGTAGGCTCCTAATACAAGCGTATGAATAATTGAATAAATCCACAGATGGGTCTGTTTTGACAGTGTGTACTAAAGCTTATGTAAAAAGCTGTAGATATTTCAATTTTCTGTTGTATTTCCTCAGTTTTAAATTTTTTCTTTCTAGATCAGTGTTTTTTAGTCTATCAACTAGGTCAATTTTGGCCCCCAGGAGAAATTTGGACATTTTGTTGTCACAGCTTGGGTAGAGGGCTAAGCTACTGGTATCTAGTAAATAGAGGTCAGGTTTGCTGCTAAATAGTCTACAATTCACAGGTCAGGCCTTCACAACAAAGAATTATCTGGCCCAACTGGCATAGTGTCAAGGTTTAGAATCCCCGTTTTAGAGAAATTATTGGGTTTAACCATATAAAATTGATGTTATTTACTGTTTTTACCTAAAAGTTAAATTTTATATGGTTAACCCTCTACTAATGGGTAATAGGAAACAATTTGAAGATTTTATAATTTGGGCAACAGTTCCCATTGGACAGACCCCCACAAAAAAGAATTGTGTTGTCCAAATGTCTATAATTATACTTGAGAAGGCTTCTCTAAACATATAAAAGTTAACATGCTTTAATAAAGGTAAAATGTGTTCTACTCCCTCTACTTTGACAAATAACCTATATAACAAGTTGGAATACAAGGTTTAAATTTAGATTCTTGTATTTCTCAGACTTCTAGAACAGTGTGGCAGCCTCTGGCCCTACAGTCTGTCCTGTGTTGTAAGGGACCTCATTCGAATGTATATGGACACCCCAGATGGTTGGTCCCAGCTCTGTCTACATGTCCAAAAGTAGACACACTGACTGCCTTGTCATGTCCAGGAGCTTAGAGCTGCACAGGTCAGCCTTCTGGAGCACAGGACCAGAAACCAGGCCCACGACAGTCCTGCTGGCAGGCTTGGCCCATCACTTCTACAGGGGACTATGGAATATCCAGAATGTGCCCCAGGCTGTGACAGAAGTTCTGGACAGGCAGTTCCTCTGGGTCAAGAACTCACACTCAGGGACAAAAATGCTCTTTCCAGCCATATAATTGTTGAAGGTCATCAAGAGGAATGCTGGTTGGCCCACGAACTGGACGTGGACAACTGGAGGCTTCTTACGCCATCTCCAGTCCATGGAATATACATTCTGCCTCTATTCCCTTTCCCGCAGCCGTTTCAGGACCGAGCCTTGGGAGAGTCAAGTGTTGTTGAGACCATCTGGATTGAATACGTGACTGAAACTAGTTAAGGCCTCTATACAGACATACCTCATTTTATTGCAATTCACTTAATTGTGCTTCACAGGTGTTGCGTTTTGTTTTTTTTTAAAATGGAAGGCAAGACCCTCCACCCGCAAAGAGCTTATGACTCGCTTTATTGCAGTAGTCTGGCACCAAACCCTTTCAAGATTTTGGTGGGCTGGTGCGGAGATTTACTGGTCTTGGGGTTGCCCAAGAACGATCCTTGTATGTAAGTTTCCTTGTTTATTAAACTTGCCAGCTATCAATCTGAAGGGGTCTGTCTCTTTCTTAGGTCTCTTCTTACCTTCTGGGTCCGAGGGCCGTTTTATGAACCAAAAATAATCTCGAATTGAAAATTAGGTTTTAAGATCTAATGATGTGCAGTCCGTTTCAAAAGTGTAGGTATTTGGCCTTTCTATTAGCTATTTGTATTAATGCTGTTGTAAAGTAACCTACTGTTCTATTTCATAGGTTAAATGATAGCAGCTTTCAAAATAGATAATTTTTATGTTATTAAATGATAATTAAAGGCATAGCATAATTAAATGAAAAATACATTAAAATTAAAGGCCTAGTCTCCAAAAGACCCAATAATATGCTAAATCATGGAAGTTATGTAAAGGGAAATACTATTAAAATGGTGAATTTTAACAATATACTATTTCAGCTGGTTCTTCAACTTCTATTTAAATTTATTTATTTAAGAATTTAAGAAATATTTAAGAAATATTTAAGAATTTTCTCATTTGTTCATGGTTTATAAATAAATCTTTATTAGGTAAAATTATCCATTCATTTTACATATTATTGCTAAATACAAAAGAAAAGGTCAATTCAGTCAAATTTATAAAAGTTATAAAAGAAATAATTATCTTGAATCTGATTTTAAATTTGATCACAAAAAATTTAAAGAAAAAACTACTAGACTTTATAAAGTTGAAGTTTATTTTGTACTTTTTGAAAGGTCTTGAAATAAAAATTTGCAATTTATGGTTTGGTACAATAGATGGCAAAACATTCTGTCATTTAGGTTTTTTAAACAATTGTTTATTGTAACTAGGTTTGTATACTTTATTTCTAGGGGAAGATTATTCTCTTATACCTTGAGAGCTGTAGTTTATATTACAACATGAAATATTGAAATGCTATGTGTATCCAATATGTAATCTTAAGAATGACATCTAAAAACCATTAAAAGTGTGTGTGTGTGTGTGTGTGTGTGTGTGTGAGAGAGAGAGAGAGAGAGAGAGAGAGAGAGGAAGGAGGGAGTAGAGAGGAAGAGAGAATAGTTAGCCAGAAGCAACTTTAATCTAAAGGCACATATTATGGGAGTAACATATTTTAAGGCAGTAGATGATTTGCAGTCCCTTTTTTAAATATTCATAATTTCTACTCTTTATATATCCGTTTAAAAGCACCCTTGTTGTGTTCATTAAGAGTTGGAAATGACAAATACAGAAAGTAAGTCCGAGTGTTGTCATGTTAGTATTTCTGGGTTCCAGGAGAAGTGTTTTAAGAGGCACAGTAAATGAACGGCATCCTAAATTCCATGAAATGCGGAGTATAGTAGGTGGCATCCGTGATACCCAGTAAACACAAGGAAACACATGTGAGTAATTTTTATACCAAGCAAACTGAGTTTCTTGAAAGACATGATGGAATGAGTCATCAGAAACATTGAAGAAGGGGAAAGGATTATATTTTTACACATGAACGTATTACTTTTTGAATATTATCTAAAATGTTTTAGCATAATTTTACATCTAAAATGTAGGATAATCATTGCTCGTGAATTTTCTTTTTCCAGTTTGTTTTTCAGGAGCATTGAACTGACCAGTTACATTTATATCTGGGAGAACTACAGACTCTTCAGTTTGCCTTGGGATTCTCCCTGGACTTGGTACTTAACCTTCTTAGGAGTTGACTTTGGCTACTATTGGTTCCATCGCATGGCCCATGGTGAGTTGCAAATCAAGGTTTTATTGATAATTTATGTTGAACTCTGTTTGGTCCATGGTTGGTGTCTAGTAAATATTAATTGAGCTAATGAATAAACAAACAACTTTATTTTGCAGCATATAAAGATTAATAATGAAACTTTACTTTGCAAACTAAATGGAAACAATCTAAAGTCACTGTCTAAAAAGTGCCATTATTAGAGGTGCATTTAAAAGAAGTTTTTATCTAAGTTGTTACAAGAAACTGTTTAGAAATTGATGGATATAACATTACTTTTTATATGTTGCCTTACACTGTTCTTATTAGGACGTGCTTGCTGGAGTCTACAGACCCTTACACACAAATTCAAACTTCACATCCCAGTTAACCTGGGTCATTCACAAGAGCTCCAGAATAGCCTGGAATCGGAGGTTACGTGTGCTGTTATACGTAAGCCTGATTGAAGTTCTTGGCAGTACCTCCTCGTTACAAATGAAAACACAGTCCGCTAGGCGTTAACCGGAGTGCACTTGAGTATTACCATAGCTTTGCAAAATTACTCATCTAATTCAAAGTCCGGTTACTGCACTGGTTCTAGGAATTTACCTTTTGGGATTCTTGGCTGCCCCCTCCAAAGAAATATTTTGTTATGGAAAGGGAAATGGAAGTGCAGGAAATGGTGTAAACCTCTGCAGGGATAAGTGGAGGCTGGAGACTGATTGCAGAGCTGAGGTGAGCGAGTGGTCTCCAAGGAGGAATGAGGCATGCAAAAGCACTTCTGAAGGGAAGTGGAGGGAAATGCTCCTTTTGAAAAACTACTGAACAGCAGAACTCAGGATTTCAGTGGGTGGTTGGGTTGGGTGGGTGGGGAGGAAGGAAGGAAAAGGAAGAAACCTGGAATAATAATAAAAAAATAGATGGGAGATGGAAAGAAGAGACCCGAGATCAGGGTGAATAACTGAGCTGTGTGTAGGAGTACGTGTGACCAAATATCCTTCCTAAGCACGGAGAAAGGAAGTAGGAGCAGCGATCACAGGCGTTCACTGAAGGCGGCCAAACTTCACATACAGCGTTACTGTTGCTAAACACTTTAAACATATACATTTCAGGAAACTATAAAGAGTGTTAATTCATTCAAATAATTAGAAGTGAACATATAAACTAGAAAAAGTAATTTATTTTGTGTGTGATAACCTTTGCCTTTGAAAATAGGTCAGCTCCTGACATCATTTCCTTATATTTAAATGCAAAGGGATACTCCCACGTTGAACGTGATTAAGAATAAAATATGGTCTAGGTAGTAAACTTGGTATTTTATTTCAAAATAGTAGTTTTTCTCCCTAAAATGAACGCATTGGCAGTCTTTCTCACTTCTATGCAGCAAATGGGTAATGCAGAAACGTTTACGTTCTATTACTTAATTTCAGGAACTTTCTAATATCACACCGTCCTGTATGGATGTGTTTGTTTGGGAAATCTGCAAATCCGCTTAATTTCTGGAAGCCCATTATAACAGGAAACCAAGAACCAACAAAATATTACCAAATATAAAACTTTTAAAAAAAGAAGTTGATTGTAAGTGCACTCAGTGAAGAGCAATAAAGTAAAATAATATATTAAAAACATGAAATCAAGGCTGTTTAAAGTATGCTTCCCATTAGAAAAAAATTGAACTGAGTCCAGTGGAGGCAGGCATTATAAAAAAATCTGAAAACCTTCTGGAAAAACACTCACCACCTTTAGGCTATGAAGCCTAATCGTGAGTTCAAAGACTTTTGACTTGTGATGGAAAGCTAGTAGGAAAAAAATAAATTATGGAGTTGAATGTGTCAAACTTCAAAATGACAGTCAGTTTTTAAATTCTATATGATAATATAAAATATTAAAATTGCTTTTTGGAAATCCAGTAATACCCAGGCATAAGAAAAACGTGTATCAAATTTCTTCAATCTCTGGGATTACTAAATTCATATGGGTTAATTGGTTAAATTTATTTAACTGAAAAGTTTGAACAGTTCTAAAACCCAAACGTCTTAAAATATAAGAAAAAACTCTGCTTCTCCTATTTAATGTTTTCCTTTTCTTTCACTATTTACAATACAATGATATAACAATGCATTCCACATTTGTTAGTGTTAAATTCTATGAGTTCTGAAGAAATAACATACACTTAAAATTTTGTTTTACATGTATTTAAATTACTCGTTTAGTAACCCAATTTATTGCTAGGTGTTTGTTGTGTTATAACTTATTTGTTTATGTATATGGAGAATTTTCTTACAATAAGGGAAGAGTTTGGTAACAGTGGAAAAGAATTTATTCTCAAAAACTTGAATTTCATCTCTATTTCTATGTAAAAGAGCAGAGGGCTGTTTGAGGCTATATATGTTATTGTATTATTCCACTTTTCTCTGAAATAATGAGGAAGAAATTGCTCATTATTGTGAACGTACACAAAAAGTGTAGCACAATAAAGTCTGTAGAGTACTTCACAACTTTAGAAAGAAATGCAGAGTGACAACATTAAATAGGTCTTTCATGAAAAGTACCTTCTTGCATGCTTAGTTTCTATTACAAAAGGATGCATTATTTTTCTTTATACTCTCTATTAGTTATACTAAATATATAAGATAATGAGTAAAGATTTTAAAGGAAAATTTGAAATAAAAATGATCACTGCTCTGCAAGAGAATGGTGAGCCTTCCAAGGTGCTGGTCACAGATTTTAACTTGTCTGAGGTGGCAGTCACATGAGTGTACATATTTGTAAAAATGTATTAAGTTGTACACTCAAATCTTATGCACTTTATGCCTCAATAAAACATGAAGTTGTTAAATAATACCAGCTACACGATTTCTTGGTAAATAGTTTGAAGTGACAATCATATAATAGGTAAACATATGTGGAAAAAGGGAAACAAAAAGTTGTTACTTGTGAATGTAAGCATACACATGTGACCTTACACAGATCTATCAGTATTGGGGGAGGGACAGCAGGCCAGTTGTTAATTCTATTGCCTTTCTTCTCCAAAGCTTCTTTGCTATTTCTTGTGCTCCCAGAGGTAGGCCCTGCAGCTGTTTGCCCTTTGCCTGCTAACCGGTGTTGGGCTTTTCCAACGTGAGGGACTGGAGGTATACTACAAAGCCAGAACAGCAGGCCGGGGCTTGGCTTTAACTTTCCAGAATGCTGCTTTCTCTGTGTTACTTAACAGACTAGTGTAGGAGGAACCTGGCAGCATTTACTTACAGCCTAAACCTTCTGATTAGATCCTGTGTCCTTGGGGGTACAAGATCGGAGGTCTACCTGTAACCCTCACCCTCTGGGGCTTGCACGCTCATACAGGGGTGGGGAACCTTTTTTTCTGCCAAGGACCCTTTGGATATTTATAATATCATTTGCAGGCCATCCAAAATGATCAACTGAAAAAGTGGCCTGCTATATTTGGTCAGGCTAATTTGGTGAGGCTGTTAGCTGGTATTGATTTTGCAGGCCTTATATGGCTCTTGGACCCAAAGTTCCCCACCCCTGCCTTGGTCACCAGCAGAGTTCCTGTGGTGGTCACAGCCTCTCCAAAGATATCTGACCCCTAGACTTGGAGTGGGAGGCTCTGGCTGAATTCCTCCCGCTCAGCTCTGCAGGTACTTGCTGTGTTCCACTATTGTTCCATCTGGACCACTTAACTGCTTTTTGTTTACCTCTTTTTGGTAGTTAACACTGTGTTTACTAGTCAATGATTCTTCTTTTAATTAAATTTACTGGAGTGACATTGGTTAATAAAATTATATAGGTTCCACGTGTACAATTCTATAATGCATCATCAGTGTATCGCATCGTGTGTTTACTACCCAAAGTCAAATCTCCTTCTGTTACCGTAATTGACCCCCTCACCCACCTCCGGAAACCACGATGTTGTCTGTATCAGGGTTTTGTTTGTTGGTTTATCTTGTTTGTTCATTTGTTACTTTCAGTTTCATGTCCCACATATGAGTGAAATCATATGGTTCCTAACTTTTTCTATCTGACTTATTTTATTGAGCACAATATTCTCAAGATCTATCCATGTGATCGCAAATGTCAGTATTTCATCTTTTCTTGTGGCTGAGTAGTATTCCATTGTGTATATGTGCCACATCTTCTTTATCCCGTCATCCATCAGAGGGCATTTTGGTTGTTTCCATGTCTTGTCCACCATGAATAGTGCTGCAGTGAACATAGGGGTGCATACATCTTTACAAATAAATGTTTTCAAATTTTTCAGGTAGCTACTCAGAAGAGGGGTTGCTGGGTCATATGGTAACTCTAGTCTTAATGTTTTTGAGGAACCTTCATACTATTTTCCATAGTGGCTGTATCAATTTATATTTCCACCAGTAATGAATGAGAGTTCTTTTTTTCCACACAACCTCTCCAACACTTATTACTTGTTCCTTATTCAAATTACTCTTGTGGTTTCTGTCTCCTAATTTGACCCTGACTGATATAGCCAGCCTCCTCACACATTGTAGAAGGTGGTAAATTAGAGTTCACCTAACCATATTTTTTATTATTCCATTCTGAGGCATTGATTATACATTCAGGATACAACACAATGTAGTTCAGTTCTAAAATAAAGGTTTTCATCTGTAAAATCATTATAATAAACAATCTGTAAAATCCCCTCAAAACTCAAATTTCCTTTAGTCAGCAAATAAACTGCTTATTTTATTTTCTATTCTTCTCTCTCTGTTAATCAAGGTGTAAACACTTATTTTTGTATTTTATTGTGAGTAAGTGAGCCTTTATTTAAGACTATTAAACTTAATTTTTATATTTTTTCTTCTAAGAAAATTAAATTTAGAGCATCTTATTTCTATCATTGTTTAAACAAAGAATACAAGCAGATGTATTCATCAGAAGTTGTTTTATTGTAATATGCCAGGATTCTGCTCTGTATTGAAGAATTGGTTACTGACATTTAGTTACATTTGTATTTCTCATTTAAATACCAGAATACACCTATTTTTAGAATTCTTTGCCATATA